AATATACAACTATGTACCGGGGGCTTTGGGGAGAAAAAGGAAAAGAATAAAATCTTTAAAAAAAAAAAAAAAAAAAACCATGAGCATCTCCCAGCCCTGTGTGAGCTCTGGTAATTTTTTAGCTTATAGCCTCCCACTTTGTTTTTGCCTGGCTTAGCGGTCTTTCAACTACATGTGGTTGGCTTAGTATTCTATAACAGACTCACAGATTTATATAGTTCTTCCTCCACGGAGCTTCCTCTTACTTGGTACTCCACAAATCATAGCTGCTTCAGCTCTCTACACTTTGATCTTATCCCCTCAACTCAGTAAGACTGTCAGTGCTCTGCTTAGGCAGCCCTTTCTGCATCATGATCTGAAAAGACCCCCCCACGCAGAAAGCTGAGTCACATGTAGGTTTCACCTCCTTTGTTTCCATTCTCCTTAAGATCACCATCCTGTGTTGCCTGTTGTTGGATGTCTGAAAAGAGTTGTTTCATACATTTATTTACTTTTCAGTTTTCTTGCTGTCAACAGTGGGAAGGCAAGTACAGTTGTAGTTACACCCTTATTGCTGGAAACATAAGTTTATTGAAAATTCCATACTTGATATTTTTATAAAAATACTTCAATAGAAATATATTCTTGGCCACAAAAATGTAATTGGATCCAATAAGTAATTCATATCAACTTCATCAAGTAACTAGGAAACTACCTAAACCTATTTCTACCCACCTCAAAATGAACATATACCTCACATACTCAATCTTGATTTCTTACATAAAATCTAAGACTATTGGTCTTGCCAATGGTGCATAGTATAACTGAACTGATTTTGCTGTCAAGTCGTGACATTGAACAGTGGTTGTTCAACAAATCATGAAGTTTTATAATGGAATCCAGACCCCAGAATAACTCCTGACCACCTGGATAAGTTTGCTGGGCTGTAAGGAACAAGGGAAAGCATGTCTGGCCACAACTACATGCTATCCAGGAGAAGTCTCCCCAACTTAGACAACCTCTGTGTGAAGGTTCAACTAGGACTTGAGACATTTGATGGCTGTCTACCTGCCAAACCCTGTACTACTTCCATTTATTATTTCTGCCCGGTAGGGGAAAACAGGTCTGCTCAGCATCGCCAACCTTCAGTGTGCTTTTCTCATTCCCAAGACCATTATTTTGGATGTAAGAAGATTAATGAGACTCCGGCACATTTCTATGAGGCACTTTCTTATAAAAAGACACCTTAAGATAACTGTACTGAATTACATCATTTCAAATACAAGGACTCTGTGTACTGCTATATTTCTCTTTTATAATGATGTTTTGCCTCCTCACTAATCTTAAACATGGAACACTAAGTTCAGAATAATCCCATTTTTTATTTATCAGGACTTGGAATAGGGAGATAAGGGACCAAGAAAAAAATATGTGGGAATTAGAGAAGTAGGATATACCCACTCTCTCTTTAGGCCAAGTCTTATCTGGCCCCTACAGAACTTGAACCATCTTCTCCCTCCCCTCAACCCACAGAAAAGGGCGGAACTGTAGTCTTGTCTGTGGATGTGGGATTACCTTGATAAAGTCCAAGTACAACGGCATTTTGGAAAAAAGATGCAGCTCATCGTTTAGAAAAAGTAGGCTTTTTCTAAATCATACCAGAAAAGGTAATAAACAAAGATAATCATCTTTTGAAGGGAACATTTGTTAGGTACAAGACTTCACCTGCCTCCTTTTGCATTGTTGCCAGCTAATTGCAGACCCAGCTGCTACATGGGAATGGGAACATGACAACATAAAACTTCCGTATAGCTCTTGTCTCAATTGTTACTAAGTAGAGAACACATCTGATTAACTACTGGGAATGAGGCGCACTGTTTGAAGTTATTGGGTGTGTCTTTCTCAAAGGTGGTGGACACCCCATTTGTTTCTGCTTCACCCTTTGTGATAGCTGACTGAGAGCTCAACATTTCCAGGAGGCATCTCAATGGACGGGGCATTCAAAATACCTGAGAGCAGTAGTTTTTACCCTGAAACATTCTAGAATCACCACTGCCTAGCCTCTGGTCCACACCAATGAAGTCAGACTCTGGCAATGCTTCTCAGGTATCAATACTTTCGTTAAAGGTCTCAGGTGATTCTCATGGGCAGCCAGGATTAAGAAGCATTCTCTTAGACTGATAATTCATGCGAAATTGGAGAGCAGGAAATTACATGAACAGAGTTTCAATGGTTTTCTTGATCTTCTGCCTAGGCTCCTCTGGCCTCCTGCGACATTCTTTTTGCCCCCTTTAAATCTACCCACTCCACTGTGTCTGCATCAGATTTCCATTCCTGAGAATAACCCATCAATTCTGAAAATGAAATGCTCAAATAGGATATGCTCTACAGTCTAGGATTTTCCAATGATTTAATTATCTAATTACTGGAGCCGGCTGCCAAGCACAAAAGATTTCATTCAGTTTCACTATTTTATAACACAGTTCAAAGAACATTTGAATTTCTAATTCAATTTTTGTTCTTTTGAGACCATTCTACAGGGTTTTGTATATCTCTCATGATAGCTCCATGAGGACTCATAATCTCTTTGGGCTTGTTCTTCACTTTTGGTGTATAATACATATGCTGAAGGAGAAGTGATGCTGAGATGGCTTAATTCTTCTAAGCTGGTTTTGTCCTAAATAGATTCCCCTGACTGAAAGGTGGAGGCTGGGGGGGATGGAAGCTGACGGGGACCAGAGAATACGCAGACTGAGGTAGCAACAACTGCAGCCAGTTTAGGAAAGAAAATGTGTATCTTTCCCTCCGTGTCTGCTCTTTAGAACTGCACAAACTTCTAAGCTCAAGAGCACAGCTGCTCATTGTTCTTTACACCCCGCCAGCCAGGAAAGCTGAGCAGTTCTGGGGCAATGAAGGAACTTGTGTGGTTAAGACAGCATTCCCAGACCTTGACCGAAGAGCCTCTTTGTTTGCGAAGCTATGATTCGGTAACCGAGCTGCCACAGTTCAAGGGTTACAAGGAGTGGCAAGTAGTGGGAGACCCCTCCCAGCCAGCCAGAGGAGCAAACGATGCCAGCCACCAACAGGGTGACGCCACAGCCACAGACGTACAGCCTGGGTATCAAATTCACCATGCTTCAGCGGAAGAATGGTGTTTATGTTACAGCAATTCCATCCCTGCCCCCAAACCAACAACGCTCACTTTTGAAAGCAGTAGGTGCTACCATACAAACCATATATTTACGATTTTTTCTCTTGTGAGGGTCCAAAGGGGATCGCACAATTTCCAAATGGCCAGTAGGTGGCACTAAAAGGCAGCAGCCGTGTGAGAAGGGGCTAACTCTCCATAAATGCCAGGCAAGAACCTGGGAGCCAACCGTCCCTCTCTGGCCTACACATGTGTCCTTTGGCCTGCAGAGTACTAAATAATTGTTTTTTAATTACTTTACAACATTTTTAGAATGAATACAGATATTTCAGATAAAATCTGTATTTCCAGATTCTCCTAAAATATTGAAACATCTGGAAACGCTGGACTTCAATTCTATCAGGCTAAGAGCTGCGTGGAGCTGAGTGGTGATTACCCTTTAGAGGCGCAAACGTGTCATTGTCCCTCCTCCACTTCACTTGTTAAGTTACTACCTGGACACTGTGGGCATTGGACTTGTCACACCTGTACACACCCTCCGCCTAACCTGAACACTTCATTTCATTGCAAAGTGTCTTTAAAATTGCAAAGCAAGGACAGGTGAATGCAAGGGGGGGGGGGGGGACTTTGCAGATAACCTGCTTCAGAAGAGGATTTACATGAATTTGCATGGGGTGTCCAAGGTGTCTGGGACGTCGTCTTTGGAGACCTGAGCACTGAGCAGTGTGACCCATCCCATTAGCTCTCAGGATCCGTGACAGGGCCTCAGGGCGGGTCTCCCAGCCTAGCTGCTCTCTGTTTGTTCTCTGGCAGGTAAAGAGCGAGGGGAAATCATCTTCTTAGCTTTAATGAGATGGTGAAAAATGTAGGGCTCAGGCCCTCTGCGAGTTAAAGGGAGAGAAACTGTGGTTTGAAGCCCTTTCCTTATTGGACGTCACCAGCTCAGGAGGTTGCATCCCACTGGCTCCTGAGGACACCACACCTGTGTGGCTGCTCTAGGCTCCTGGGTGGGTTTGCCTTTCACCAACGTTTGGACTATGAGCTTCTAGTCTAAGCCAGCACTACATGCTCAATGCCCAATCTCCCACCAAAGGCAGGGAGGTTTGGGGCTGATACCCGAAGCAGACGTATGACCTCGTACAGATACACAGCACCAGCTCCTCAGTACCAGAACCAGAAGGTACGTTATTCTGCTTCGCCAGATTTATAGGATTTGTTTACCAAGATTTTGACACAAAGGGTCATTTTCGCCTCCCCTTTGAGTCCCATATAGCTCACATATTCCTTAACAATGGAAAAGGGTAAGGAAACTATTATGGAACACACTCTCCAAATAAAACACAGACGTTTTTCTCAATAAATCATCCCCGGTGGCTGCTTTTTCTTTCTGAATTCATCCTCTAGTCTCAACTCACATTTCTAAATACATCACAGTTCCTTACAAAAAAATGCTTAGTGGACGATTCACCTTTGTGCACACCCATTGGGGAGGAGCAAAGAGTCAAACACTGCAGGCAGGAAGTCTGAATGGGCTGTTGGATGCTCCACGGGGCTCCTTGCCTTTCAGCTCTCCTCCAAAAAGCAGATGTTTAATGGTTTTTTCATGTGTAAAAGCATGCACAGCTTAAACAAGTGGGTATAGATTGACTATAGTTACAGTGGAAGGCTCTAGACCAAATTACGTGTGTGAGAGGAAATCAGACTGGTCCAGTTCTGTTATCCAGGTCTTCGGTTACCCCCCAGGAAAGGATGGTGGAAAGAACCCTGGAAGGTGCTGTGGGGCTAGGGATGTGGGAGGAGGCAAATAGGGGGAGAAAGCTGACTTTGGGCAAGTAAGTCAGTGGACATGGTCCCCAAAGAACATGGTCTGTACCTGGAGCTGTCGCATCTGCTGGAGTTGGAGCCTGAGTTCGGCCACACTGCGTCTCATGTCCAGCAGGCTCATGTGGATGGCCGAGGCGCCAGCAGGTAGGGGCTGGCTGGGGGGTCCCGTGGACTCCAGGGCGCTGAGAGGTTTCCCACCAGGAACATGGGGGGTTCCTATGAGACAAGAGCAGCAAAGTCCCTAAGAACACCACAGAGGAAAGTCTGATAGACATCCCAATACAGACTACTGGTAACTCTAAAAATGCCCAATTCCTTCACTATGAAAAAAATTTTTAATTATGTTGGTCCTCTAAATGGCAAAAATAAGGAAGTGGGTTTAAATAAATTATGGAACATTCCAGCCATATTATAGGCTGCATGTGTAAAAGTCATATTCTAGAATTTAGTGCCCTAGGAAGGCAGATCACAGAGCAGTATGTCCAGCATGATGCCACGTTAAGGAAGCTAGCTGTCTGTCTGTCTACCTATCTGTGTATCTTCTTGAAACACACAGGCTTGCACAGAGAAAAGATTAGATGTACATATAACACAGTGTTAACAGTATCTCCAGCTGGCGGTATGCTATGAGTTTTATATTTTTTATATTACCGCTTTTTGTATTTTTAAATCTGCATCGTGAATATCTATAATTTTATAATAGAGAAAATAATTTTAAGACTCTGGGACTTAACACAGGTTGCCTTTGTTACAAGTCCTGGCAGGAAGCTGTACCCCAAGAACATGCACTGAGTTCTGGGCAGAGATTTGGCTGATCGCCAAGGGGAAATTAATAAGAACTGGGTGCTCTCCTGAATCCCTCTGGGTTTCCAAACCAGAAGATGGAGGACCTCTGCCCATATGTCCTTTAGTGAGAAAATCAAGCATGACGCGAAAATTCTCTAGGAGAGGAATTGACAAAGGCGGCAGAAAGAAACTTTTCCTAAATAGTTTTCTTGCTGTCATAAACTTTGGTTCCTTGAATCCGACTTAAATAAGCCTTGTGTATTTTATAAGTCCATCTGGGAAGGGCCTGATGTGACAAGTTTGCTTTAAAAATGACTCAAAAAGGACCCCAAGAAGCACTTCTAGGACCAGCAAGGTGGAGAACACAAAAGGAGCTGTGAATGCCTTTTTAGGACAATGTAATTCTATGGAATAGGCCTCCAGAGTAGAATCCACATTACACATACACAAACACACACACGCACACACACGCTTCTGAAGGGGCTGTTCCTGTAAAGGACAAAGTGGAAGCTTTGCAACAGGCCAGGCTGGTCCTGCACGACACAACCCTGTCGCTGCTTTGCATATCCTGGAGTGGTGACAGTGCAGCGGGCTCTCTTTCCATCTTGGCCCAACATCCATTGGATCCTTTCCTTCCCTGGCACACACAGCCCTGCAAACCTCACAGAGCTGCGGCTATGGGATGTAGGTGGAAGGCCAGGGAGCAAGGGTGTGCCGCACAATTGTCCTCTTACTTGCTTGGCCTCAGCAACTCGAACAGAGAGCTGATGGCACATGTGGTTCCTCATCTTTAGAGAACCAGTCTCCCAGCCTCCCCATGGCCCTCTTGGGGAAGTCAGGCGAGCCAATGAGAAAGCATTTGAAGGATTTCCAAAAGAATCCCTGCAGAGCAGACAGTGAGCTTTTTATTTTTATGAGCTTAACTGACCACTCCCATCAGCACCAGTCATGGCTCTGACCAACTTTTGCCTGTTCCTCCCCAAATCAGTCACCCTCAAAGGAGCAAGATAGCCATCTCTGCAATTGTTCAAAAGAATAGTCTCCAACTGTAAAGGTCCTCAGTGGAAGGACACCAAGTGACATTTCCAGTAACAGCAGCATGTCAGAGCTGACACAGCATCTTCAAGATCAAATATTCTGAGGGTGATCATAATAAATTGGAAGTTTTTCTTTTAGAATTGGTCAAGTTACTTTATCATCACTTGATATCCATAGGCAAAGGCGCATGTGTACATGCATGCAGACACACATACACACACACACACATACGCAAATCCATACTCATGCCATACACCACCATTTGTATAACAAATGATACACTGTCGGGGTCTCTCTCCAACAAAAATGACTCTGCACTAGCTAGCTTCTCCTATTTGGTAATAAGAGCTATTTTGCTAATTCTTCAGCCAAATGAAGGCCCATAATCCTTCTGCATCCCTTCTTCTCCTTACACATTCTGAGGACACCAGTGTACCTCACCAATCCCTTGTATGGAGGAGAGGCTTGAGTCTCCACACCATCTGTTAGAGTCAAATGCTGATAAGTGACTTGAAAAACACCTTTCACAATCAAATTTATTTCTGGAATCTACACCCATCAATCTGGTTTCTAACACCATCCATCATTCACTGAAATGGCTCTTTAAGGTGGCCAGTGATCAGTTGTCAACCCAATGGAGGCTGGACTGACATGACTCCTCGATTGACGTTGGGTTTTGTCACTCACTTCTTTTCTTCTCAATCACTTTGAAACTTTCCTCTCTCTCATCTTCTCCCCTCTCTGCAGCTCCATCTTGGTCAGTCTCTTTTCTGATTTCTTCCTCGGTCAACCTTTTAAACAAACCCTAGCCTGCTCTGTTCTGGGCCTGCTTCTCTTCTCGCTGGACATGCTTTCCAAGGAGGCCACTTCCACGACCACCACCTGCCAAGGTCTCTCACATCTTTGTCTCCAGCGTACAGTAATCTTCAGCTCCACACAGCAACATCTTCACATCGTTACTGGACTCTTCTACAAGCAGGCCCAATTCATTATTTCTGCTCATCTTCCTCAAACCTCTAACTCTATAGGCCTAATTTTAGCCAGTGACACTATTATTCACTCAATTTAAACCAGAAACCAGGAAATCATTCTCAGTATCTACATCCTAGAAGTGCGACCTTGGTAAGTGCCTTAACCTCTCTCACCATCTTAGCTTCCTCATCTGTAAAATGGATATAAGGGTTATTGTGTGGCATAATGGAATTAACACAAGTAAACTGCTTAGCCCACTGTCTGGCACAGAGGGATCCCTTCATTGTGGTTAGCTGTGATTATTAGTTCTCTGAGCAGAGTGGGCAGGAGGTGCCTCTGCCAGCTTCTCTCCTCACCTGGAGTGTCAGCAGGTGCAGAAGGCTGGGGGTGGCAACAGCGACAGGCTGAGACCTACAAGCAGGTGCCCTGAAGTCCATGGGTGGAGCTGGATCTGGTGGGCGGGGCCCCGAGTGGTAAATGAGTTCCCCTTCAGATTAGATTCACAGCACCTGGGATCTGCTCTCCACACCCACAAACGGGGAGTCCCATTCTAGTCTAGTAGGAGAGTCAGCGCGCAGTGCCTCTTCAGAACCTCAGGCCTTTCTGTGCACGTCCCCCTCTCCAGGCAAAGGCCTCTCCTTTCTCCTACCAAATCCTCTCTTAGGTAATTTACTTTAGTTGAGCATATCTTAATAAGAATCTTATTAAATGCAAATTTGATGTGAATTTAACGTATCCTGTTGTAACAGAAAGAACATGGGTTTGGGGGTTTGCCAGCCTGGCTATGACTCAACAGCAGTGTGGCTAACACCTTCTTATAGGGTTGTCCATGGTGTGCCTTCAAAATGGGAGGCTCCTTCTGTTCTCCTACATCCACAGTATACCAAATATCCTAAAGTAACAGGAAGTCTGGGTTTTCCTTTTTCATTTACCCTTGGCCAAATGAGCTCCTTCACTTCTAGACAGTTCCATGTACCTGTCTACAGAACAGGGATAATACTTCTCTTGTAGCTCACTTCCTAGGATTCCGGAAGAATTAATATATTTTGCACACCAAATGCAGCTGCCATGGCAACTAAAGCCCTGTGGACCACATCTAGCCCTGACACATTAGCATGAGAAAGACCAAACTCAGTATAGACGTGGGGGAGCAAACACACACGCGTGTTGCTAGTGGCATCGCAAATGGGCTTAGCCTTTCAGAACAGAAAAGTGGAGGCGTGTGGCCAGTGCCACTCAACTGTTCATCCCTTTGGACTTACTGATTCCACTTTGGGAAATAACATCCCATGGAAATTACACCTGCTCCTTCCCCCACGTTCCCATAAGGACATTTACACAATTTTTCAAAACAAAGAAATGAAACAACCCATATATCTTCAAAGGGACTAGGGCACCTTAAAAGAAAAGAAATGACATAAAATGACAGGTGGGTGGATCATGTTGATCTGTGTCACGTGTGTGTGGACATGTGTTCAGTTACCTCACCTGGAACATGGGAATAATGATTGTACCTATCCCATCCCGCATCCCGGGCACACGGAAAATGCTCACTAAATGTTTCTTCTTCTTCTTCTTATGTCACCAGAAGTAAAAAGAAATAAAAGGAGAATACAAAATAGCATGTACCTATTGATTAGAACAATGGTATTGGATACTAACCGTTTCGAGAACAGAACCTAAAGGAATGGAAGGTTTTAGTGCTGAGTAGTTCTTGCCCCTCCCCCAACATTATTGAGCTATGACTGACATATAACACTGTGTAACTCTAAGGTGCACAATGTGTTGACTTGATACACTTCTATACCGCAGCATGAACACCTCCATAGTGTTAGCTAACACAGCCATCATGTCACATAATGACCATTTCTTTTTTGTGGTGAGAATATTTAAGATCTAGCCTCTTGGCAATTTTCAAGTATATAGTTCAGCATTGTTATCTATAACCACAGGGCTGCGCATGAGAACCCCAGAACTTATTCATCTTCTGAACTACAAGTTTGTATTTTTGGATCAACCACTACCCATTTCTCCTGCCTCCAGTCCCTGGCAACCACTCTTCCACTCTGTTTCTGCAAGTTCAGTAGGTTCCTTTTCTTCCCTAAGTTCATAATAAATCAGAAAATAAATGAATGAATGAATATCTCTAAAACAAACTGGCAGTTGCTCTGAAGACAAGTTTAGCAATTTCCATGAAATAATTATCTGGCTGCAGCCAAGGTCACTGCTTGATTTGTAAGGAAACCAACAAATCTCATGAGGACTGGGAATGTTGCAAGAGCCAGCCACGCTGGCTTTACAGCGGAACTGCCCATACTTGGCTGGCGCGGAACCAGGACCCACAGAGGTCTCAACTTAAGTCCCCAATTCTGTCCTCTCTGTCATGCTGCACAACACTCTGTGGCTTCCCCAAATTAAGGGTTTCACCCAACTTGCCACATGCTTCCTGTGTCATTCAGCAGCCCAACACATCCTGGTAACCATTTCTATTTCTACCAACAGGAGGGAAGACCTCATATTCTTAAGAGAGATGCACCTTGAGCCTGCAGGATAAGATGTACATCAAATATACCTGGATGCGAATAAACTCCATGGGGAATACAGTTGGGGCCTCTTTTGGGGGAATGCTGGCACTTAAAAAGCGGGCCCTGGTTCAGGTATGCCTTTTTCTCCCACCTTAATCGCTGGTGGCTCCCTATCGGCTCTCGTCCCTGCTCATCCATGCCCACACTGCAGCTAGGCTGAGGTCCTCCCCAGTGCAGAACCTTCCAATGGCTTCACTTTGCACTTAGAGTAACATCTGAGTTCCCTACCAAGGTATCTGCATGTGCTTCTCCCTCTACCTCGACAGCTCGTCCTTTCCCTCTTCACTTACCTAAGTCCTATTAATACCTCCTTCAGGCCTCTGTTTGTGTCCCTTCCTCAGGGAAGTGCTCTTGGTCTAGGCTAGACCTGTTAGTTAAACATTCTTAACACTCAACGCACATATAATTACTTGTCCCGTATCCATTTTCCTGACAGGACGAGGAGGCAGGCAGCCCCATCTGAATGATGCCCACTGTCCTTGCTCAGTATCAGACACACAAAGATTTGTTGGATGTATGACCATACAAGGGAATAAATGAATGAATAAGTAAATGAATGAAGACTGAAGGGAGAGGACTGAAGGGCTGAGGTCCCTCGAATTAATGACAAATGGGGAATTCCAGCATTAAACAGGGAAGGAGTGGTGGCGCAGGGACTTACCCCAGAAGCCTCTGAAATCGTACCACCTCGGTGACTTAGGAAAGGTTAACACTTCTGGAAACAAGCCAGGGCTAATTAAAGGTAGCCTGCAGGCCTCCTGGAGCTGCGGAGAACACTTACCTGCACTATCTGTGTGGTTCTTACTGGCTGCAGTTTTCATCATTTTCTCGCTGGATAAAAGAAAAAGAGAGTCAGCTGCATAGTTTCCAAGATGCCCTTTTTTGCCCCTTCCATTCACCATTTCTAAGCAATCAGCAGCAGCTAGTGATGATATTAAGCAATGAGGGTATTGCAGCATCAGCACCACGATTGGCCAGGATGGAAAAGGCTTCCCAGGTGTGCATCTGACACTGCAGGTGGAATGCAGCAGAGGAGCACTCACGACTTTCAGATGATGGTGAATGTGGACATGTGTGGATGGTGGTTGCGGGCGCTGCACAGTGGTCCACGAAGCCACATGCACTGGGAAGCCCATTTACCCTTCTTGGGCCAAAGAGTAACCTTCGACCAAGAATTACCAGAAAGAAAAAAACAAACCAACCAACCATGCTTCATAGAGATGTGAATATTTTCAGCCTTGGAATGATTACAAGGAGACGGATTTGAATGAATGATCTTAATGATTAAAGAGAAACAGACTGAATTATTTTTCATTGGTTTGCTTTCTTTTTTTACCTAGACGCATCTTTGCTATTACTTGTAATGGGCCCTTTAAAAAGCGCAGACTGAACAAGGCCAGTTAAACTGGCAATCTGTTTCTCCATGGCTTGCATCCTCTCTCTGGAAAACAAGAAGATTATTTGTTAAATCTATGTTGACTTTCAGACTGGTTTGTCTAGGTGAATGATCACATGAGGGTTATAAAAGATACCACCTATTTCACCCCAACTTGGCTCAGGGAACGTGAAAAGCTTGCAAATCTTCCGTGTGATCATTCAATGATCAGAGTTGAGTTTTAACCCAATGACCTCACTGGAAAGACACCGGACAGACCAGCAGAGCCTCCTGGAAAACTGAAAAACATCTCCCTTGGAAATAAAACTGTTTGCATGTCATGGATTTTGGAGCCTTTCTGCCCTGCTTTCGCTGTTTTACCTCTGGCACCAGCGGTGTCCTAGGCCAGCTGTGGCCTGGTGGCACACCCTTCTAAGCCGGACTCCTCAGCTGGGAGCCTGCTGACTGGCGTTGGTGTAAATGAAGGAGATGTTCTTGTTTTACAGTCCAAGAGCAATTCAAACGAATGTCTCTAAAGACCAAGGAAAAATAAGGTTGAAATCAGTGTTGGACTTGGGGGTGGAGTGTCCTCAATCGAATGTCATAGGAATTTTAACCTCGGGCTTTGACAGGATCAAGCAGGAAAACGAGTATCTCTAATTGGGTCATCTCAAGACGTGAATGAAAAATCCTCCCAATTAGTTACTGTGCACAGATACTTCATCTCTCTGTTCAGGGCTCTCTGTTATGTCGCAACTCATTTGGCTTCTGAAATAGGCTTGCATTTCTGTACCTCAGACAATGGTAGTTTCACAGAACTATGACCATTATTTTCAACACATTATAAAAACACCACCCCAACAAAGTGACCTCTACTGACCAAGTGCAGAGGGCAGCACACATGTCACCATGTAGACATTCAGTTACACTTACTTAGTGGTTAAAAGCAATAATGGGAGAGCGGGGACAACAGTGTGAACAGTGTGGGCACCTGGCCTGCCATTGTCCCCATCAGCAGGAGTCCTAGCATCAGCGTGGGACAGAGAAGTGACCTCACTCTTCACTGCGGGTCTCAGGCCCACAGGCCTCTCGTGGTGTGAGCGATGGTGATTCCTGTGCCACAAACAGCATATTCATACATTGTGGCTTTTGAATACTAGCCCACTACTTTATCTGGTCCCCAATGGAAAAAATCACGGCGGTCTGTTCTTTCACTGGAGAAAAATAACTGGTTAATTTGGCGTAATCGAGAGATCCTATATCTCTATCTTGAACTTCATGGCCATCAAGAGGATTTTCAAGGGTGATGTTGTCCATACACAAGTTTCTGGCCTTGCATTTTGCCTTGGGAATATAAGCCTGAGTGCTGTGTGAAACACTGAGCTTAATTTCACAATGACAAGCTTCTCACTTCAGAATTCCAGGCATTTTCTTTAGTTTAAAATGGATAGTTCTGTCACAATACCGAGTGTCTTGGACGTAAGTCATGCAGTCTGGATAGTTAATGGTTGTAAACCCACTAAGGAAAAAAATCAATTTAAGTATTAATAGTATAATCTCTTTGTTCTAATGGCATGGGAAGAAGAAATCTCGAACAGTGAGAGTGGAAGTGCTTCTCCACAGAGGCGTTCCCTGGCAAAGCAGCAAATGCTAAACCTCTGAGCTTCGAGCATTTTCTGTCACACCTGTGCTCTTGGCTTCCTCTCTGCCATCAGTGCATGTGCCAAAGAGAAAATTAGTAAGACATTCCAATCAAGAAAACAGGTTAGTAAACACACAACAGAAATCCTAAGTTCATCAGACCCGAGTTGCAATGGTGTCTCAGAACGTTGGGGTGGTGGTTGATCATATACCTGCCATGTGGGAAACACAGATCCACACAAATAGGCTCTTGAGAAATGAGTGACTTCCGAGGGGACCTGCTGGTACCGCGTGAAAGTTGTCCAGTGTCCCTATTCTTCCCCATAATGCTGGAAGTCAAACTCATGACCCTAGGAGTGGAGGTGCATTCAGAGCTACCTCCAGCTGTACTAGTTTTCTGCTCTTATTCAATCCCAGGCAAATGTGAAGGCTTTCTTTAAAAAAAAAAAATAAGCGGCATGACATTTTTAGGGTCTAGACAGCTTTGGTTAGGAAGTGGCTTAAGGGATCTTGTGAAGCTGGAGTATGGGATAAGAAGGTGTGGTGACAACTGAAGTCCACACAGAAAACAGTAATATTAAGAAATGTAAGAAATCGATACATCTACGGCTGCAGAGGAAATGAGAATCTGATGGGAAAGAAGTGGCAGAAGGAGTGCCAGCATTGGTTCTAGGCACAATCCTGATTAGGACCAAAGCAGCGTTCTTTCTGGGCCCTCTCTGGTCCACAGCTTTCATCAGTTGGTCTACCAAAGGACAGCAGTAGAATTAAAAACCGAAACTAAGCACCTGCATCATCCCAGATTCAGGACATTGATCTTCAGCTGACTCATCTCCAAGGTTAGAACTGCAGAGTGTCACAGCACAGGTTGAGTCATCTCCACACTGGCATCCAGAGGGTTTCATATGAGTCTTTGGCATTTTCCTTGGCTCAGTGGGTACTTGGCTTCCCCCAGACAACGGTTTTAGGATGCAGAGAAAGACCATCCCCAAATAGCATCGCATTCTCCTTACTCCTCGAGATGGTGTTGACATAGTTGCAGAGCTGCCTGGGATGAGAGTTTGGATGCTTTGTGGCCAAACCTTATATTCTATCCAGGTGTCCACACTGTACCTGTGAGGATGGGACTGAATGCCCCTGGGTGGCCTCCTCTGGGCTATATCACCATAGCCCAGGCCACCAGGAAGGAGACATGATCTGTTAGAGCCTTGAAAGTTCAGAACATTTGAGCTTGACGGTCAAGGGGGAGCCATTCTCTCCCACTGCCCAGGAAACAGCAGGGCCCGAGTGTGGCCGGGGCAGCAGCACACGCCACAATGACGGCACACGCGTGTCCCACCATCTCGGCCAAAACCGCTTTACAAATATAGAACTCTTTTGACACATGGTAATGAAAAAACTTTTCCCCTCCTATTTAATCATCAAAGTGTTTCTGGTTTCAGGATTCATTTGAGGGAGATTATCTGATTTATAAATTCATAAATAAGATTGTCTGTCCATTTCATGGTTGGTAATCTGGAAACAATTTTATGATTTAACTAAATTACAGCAACTGGAAACTTATGCAGCCTTCTCCCATGATGAAATGCTATGAAGCATGTTTTAATGTAGCGGGGAAGAAAGAGAAATGCAGTGAAAGAGGAGACATTAAATACGACCCTGTCATTTTATTGCAGAGGCAATTTTGTATGATAATCGTTAGAATATTAAAGATGCTTAAGCTAATTCGTGCCAATATCGTTTGGTTTAAGGTATTATAGGACTGGTATAATTACCGTTGAAAAGATGGTTTAAAAGTGATTTCATAAGCCATTTTATATCATTCCATAAACCATATTTATGTGATTAGTAGGTATGGTTAACTAGTCATTTAGTGCCATAACTCAGCCTGGCTGAATGAATCTTCTTGGGGCCCAAGCATAATATTAATAAAAAATTCTAGTCCAATCCAGGGAAAGTGCTGATCCCAGAATTTGAATTCCTGCTGCTACAACCAGCATTCCTGGGTCTGTCTGTGAAGATGAAGCCAGACCCAGACTGCTCGTGGCCTCCTCTCTCTGTCTTCAGAGTCCAGGGAAGGAAAAAAGTCCGCATTAGCGGGATGTGTTTTAGCCAGTAACTCCATTGACAGAACTTTCCGATGCCAGTTTTCACCTTCAACAGTTTTTGACTGGGGACTTGCCTTTGTACTGACCGAGGCCTCATTAAGCCTGAATTAAGTCCTTACCATTGTATATCTAAGTAAATTAATGGCTATTAAAAAACAAGTCAGCGCCATTAACAAGTACGAGACTGGTAATTCCCCTATAATGAATCCCTAAGGATATGTTTTTAAATATCCAAAAGGAATGCTGAGGAGCTGGCGGAAACCAGCCAGCCGAGCTGTTGTGACTAGCCCCTAGTCAGAGGCATTCACTTTTCTAACCAGTTTCTAACTGTGACATCTAGTGGTGCTGGACAGTCAGTAACAACTATGGTAACCAGGGCTGGCATTCAGAGACTACTTACTAGGTGGCGGATCAACTCACTTCTAGTTCTAATATTTTGTGATCTTTTTTTGGTTCTTGCTCATTGCCTGTCATCTCTCTCCCACCCAGAAAGTGAGACCACAATGAGTCATCAACAAATACCTTTGAGCACTTAATATGTATTAGGAGCTATGCAAGCTGCTGTGGACACAGCAGTGAATAAAGTATCATTGTTCTTAAGCAGCACCTGCCTTTCACAAAATCAGCTTTTTGGGGGAGGGAGAAATCTAAGTGAGCTAAACCCCTTAGTCTTGGCAGTGCCAAAGGCATTTTCCAGAATTGAATAGTGAACATGTTTAAAGCTATGCCCTTGTTTGCTCATGGCTTGATTCTCTGGTATGAGGAAAAAGACCAAAGTAATTGAAGACACTATTTTCAGATGAGTTCAACAGAACACTGGAATTCAAATGATCTGAATTTGTGGTATAGCTTCAAAAAGGATTCTGAGCAATCAACTTTCTTTTTCTGCCCAATGTTAACCTTTTGATGAAAGAGTTGTATAACTAAAGACATTCTTCCTAAAATTCCCAATGAATTTACCTTCTCATTGAGGCATCTAGATTTACCGAGGAGATACTGATGGAGTTGGTGGTAAGTGCAACGGGGCCACCAATGATACATCCCTCTAAATTTTTCGTGTGCATTAATACCGTCCTGCTACCATCGCATGCCCCTTAGGGTAATGTCCATGTCCTGCACTTTTTCTTGCATTCTCAGTCCTTAGGTGAGGACTGGGCACACAGAGGGTCATGAAGAAATATTATTTATAACCTTGACCTTGAAGACTGCTATTCCTCCCCACCCCCGCCCTCTGCTCATGGAGAAGGAAGACTGGGCATGTTCAATGTTCCCTGTTGCCACTTCAATCCATCATCTGTCAACCTCCCTGCTTCTGAA